CTAGTTGTTTGCTAGGCAATATCTGATATAGATAAGACCCTTCAGGGCCCAACATGTGACCGTGTGCCAAGTTTGGTTGCTCAGCTCTGATGGGCGAGTTTGCAGACAAAGCAATGAATGTACAGAAAAAGAGACACTTTGTGTATTATAACAGAGACTCATTCAGATTTGTTAACAGCTGCTTCATAATAATCATAAAAACAAAAATAAAAACTGAACACATGCATTTCCCAGTGTAGCTTATTATTCCTCTTAAGCTTTGCGCTATTGTTAAAATGCCGTCTCTTTTTTTCCTCAGTAATTTCTCGTGCGAGAAGAAGTGTGAATTAACTGTGGTGAGTTTGTTGTTTCTCATTCAACGTTGTTCACATCACATCTTGGAAACCTGGAGATGATGACACGCCCATGTTATTGTGTCTGTTACGAGTCACTATAGCTGTAGTGTGACTTCTAGAGTATAATGTTCCACAAAGGATTCTTGTTTTTACTAAGATGAACTTCTCCTGCCCTTTTCTCCCAGTGTGAACACCCCGACCACCAACACAGCAACAAGGACAGAGGACGATGTTTACACCAGTGATAACTGTGAAGACTCCGTATACCAGGATGACACTGAGTCTGATAATAATTAATATCCAATAAAATGAATATCTGTTAACTAATAAGCTTAAAAATAAATATTAAAATCAAAGATAAACGAACTTGAAAAACAGGAAAAAAAACTTATGTGAGCATTTACTGAGCGCTATTAAGATATATTATTTTAAAATTTTGCTGCATTAAAAAAAAAGAATAAGTGTTTTACTATTGGCTCCTCGACTCCTTATGTTTCATGTGTCCAGTTAGAAGTTACACTGTGAAAAAAACAAGAAATTACGACTATTAAATATGGAAAAGAAACAAAGCTTGAAACATTATGCTGAGGCCCTTAAAAGTGTCATAGCAGTAATCATTCAAATTTTAAAACAGTATATTAGGACTTCTCCAAGTAGAGGACCTCCATATGGTTTCAGTTTGATGTCTCCCGGTTGTGAAGCTTGAATGTGGGGCAACAGGGATCCGTCTCATGGAGTCTGTGGATGACTCATCTGATCATATTGCCAGAGAAATATTGAATGTCACACCTGCTTTTATTGGATTTGTTTTCTCCCAGATGACAGATGAAAAAAAAATAAAGCAAATTGTTCTGCATCACAACGCTGTGTAAAGTCAGTCTGTCAGTATTTAAATTATTTGTTTGATTTGTCTGATTGTTGGAGTTTTTCTTTGGTCTTTACCTCACAATATAAAGCACCTTGAGGCAACTGTTGTTGTGATTTGTTACGGATAAAACTGAAATTAAATTGAAATTACACCCAAGACTTTTCTGAAAATGATCACGGTAGCATCCTGAAATTGATCTTCCACTAAGATATTACTTAAAAGTTGTATATCTGTCTGTCTGTGGTCTCATTGTGACTGCATTTTAGCTGACTAAAGATCCTGCTGGGACGATATGAAATAACACAAAGGAAGAATATTCGTTTTCACTATAACACAAACACTGGCAAATTTGGATTAGAACATCTTTTGTTACATCTAATATCCCCTCTTATCCTCCTGATTTTCCACCTTTCTCTACGTCAGCATCTTTTAAATTGAAGCCATGAATGCCAAAAAACAGTTAAAGCTTTGTGTTGGAAAGAAAAGAAGTAGAGAGACACAACTAGAGCAACGGAGAACTGACCAACTGGCAATAATCATATAAACAGATGTCCAGTGGTAATCTACTACATCTGGAGTGTTCTACAAACGGATTTCATTCTGAAATAAATAATCTCAAAGATGTTAATATTTGTTGTAAAACATTAAATAATTATTTTTACCAGTCACCAGGGGTGTCTCCAGATTTTCTACATAGGGGTGGCCATATGGAGGCCCTTGAATATTTGGGTGGCACACAGAAAATATAATTTCCTGTTTTATTATGCTGTTGTCGAATACAGGTTACTTGAGTTGGAGTTTAAATGTGACATGATATTTTAAATTTGTATTTGGTGGTTTCTACATGTTCACAATATACACCACATTCGTAAGACCCATGGTTTTGACTTTTTCTCAGGTTTTGATCAATAAGTCATTTAGTCAAACTTGAAGACTTGGATGGATGTACGCCAAATTTATATGAGACTATGCACAGTAAAGAAGAAACATGAGGTCAAGGCTCGCCGTGTCTCAGGCAGAGTGGGACCCAAATTGCAGCACTCGAAAGACAATGTCTAAAACTCAACAACAGCTTTATTGCTGTTGAAGTTAATATAACAAAGGCCAGGGACACCGTGAGGACTAACTAGGAACATGCAGAACAAACGCACACACAGCCTGACAGACAATTCAACAAAGGACGTAGACGCAGACGATATAAACATGCCAGGCTGAAAGGGAGCAGACAAACGAAGCAAAACTAAACACAACACACAGGACAAGCGACTATCAAAATAACAAACACTAAGACCAAACTAAGACGGGAATTTTGCACAAGGACAGGAGATAAACAAACACGATTGACTGGGGAGAAAGAAAACACAAAAGAGGATAACTCAAGGTTACATATACTAATGACAAACACAGACTGCAAACAACGGAAAACTAAGAAGCACAAGGAAACAATATTATACTGAAAGGACTGGATACAGAGCTAGAACATAAACCTCAAAATTCAAAAGAACAACTCATGAGTTGAAACTTAAAACATCCCAAAACTCAAAATGCTGGGTCGTTCACCCAGGAGCATGACACTTGATGTGTTTCTGCAGCTGTACCCATGCTCACACCAGCCCACGGCAGGTATTAGATATATCTAATACTATCATTTGTTTGGAGGATGTGTTCCCTGACCAATTAAACGCCGCGTAACACACTCAGCTGTGGGCAACCACCCAAGTCGTATATGTAGCAGTGGGAAATAACTAACTCCTTTCACTATTCATTATTAAAATAAAAATTGTATTTTATCTTAAAGAAATCTGTTTCTTCTTCCTAAACATGCTCTGTAGCGATCCTGATTCAGCGCATTACCCGTGAAATGAATAATGGTGCCCATAAATTAGAGACTTTCAAGAAGAGTTACTTGGCTGAAATGACACATGTGCTGAAGAATGTCTCACGTATGTGGCAAACAAAAGCTACCCGACTCTAAATCAGATACTTTTCAGCATGAGGTTTAGGATTCATCCAGCCGGGGATTTTACACACAAAAAAAACACAGGCGCTAAAACACACAACAGGCTATCACATGCATTTATATAACACAATAGACTAAACTACGCCTCCATATTATGAACAGAAAAGCCCTGTAGGGATGCACTGATGGTAACCAAGTCATGACTTCCTCATGAGGCGCAGTTATCTTTACACTTTTATCTTTGTAAAATATTTTTATTTATAAGTTCAAACTTTATTGGCTGATACAATTCAATTTCTTTAGCTTTGTTTCTATTACAGTAAGCATATTTTTGCAATCACTAGTAGGTTATATGTTTGAAAGTGAGGCTTTCACACAACTTTCTAAATGTTGGGATATGCTCAAATGTCTGTACAGCTGATATTACACAATATAATCTTAGGGGTCCCTCTGATAATTGTGACAGTAATAATGTCATTAATATTTTGTTTTAATGTTTTAATGTGGGAACATTAAAACTACTTGGATATTTCCTGTAATGTGGAATTTTGCTTTTAAATACACCAAAAACATCATAATAATTAGAATGGATGTGGAGGGCCACCAGGATTTCAAATTAAAAAATACATTTTTTTAAAAAAGGACAAGAGAAAAGATACGCCTACTGTGAAATTGTTTGTTTTTAACAGGACATATGAAACCGTTTTTGATTCAAACTCATTATGGCCTACTATAAACTGCTGTCACTCAGCCTTTACACTTCCTTGTTGGCAATTCCAGCATATTTTCAATTTGTTTTTTCAACTTTCAACCTTTTTTCAGTAGAAATCTGAGTTTCTGATGGATGGATGGCCTGCAGTAAGCGACTGCCTTCTTTCTCTTTGACATGAAACTGTTTGTTGTGGATGTCAAAGAGAAGAACAGAGATGGAAGTGAAGTGTGACAACAGGCTGTTGAAGACATGACATTGTACATGGTTCATGGTACATTGGTACCATGAATGGTACCATCATTTAGGAATGCCTGTGGCCACCAAACATGCCACCAAACTTACACAAAGGTTTCCAAAGAAAAAGCAGGCTTGTACTTTTAGATGACATAGAGACTATTACTTGAATAGAAGAGAACATCTTCGCCACAAGAGAGAAGGTGAAACACAACCTCCTCTGGCAAAAAGCATCCGAAGATTGATACAACATCTCTCCAGACGTTTTGTGAAATATTTGCCTCCTTGTTGAGGAGGACTGAACCCACTAAAACAACAACAAAAAGAAATGAACTGGTTATACAATGTATATACAATCTGTTTATTTGTTTGTCTTTGGTCACATGGAGTACCTACTGTAGGAACGACCTGCTGTATTTTTTAAAAAGTATTTGCAGTCTAAACATTTAGTGTTTCATTTTACAAATGAGCTAAAATATTACTTTAAATCATTAATTTACATGTGACGTATATTTACACCATTTTGAATCTCTTTACATTTTAATGATGCTACACGGGGCTGTACTTCCAATTATCTTTATAATGACCTCCTTATCTGTTTACCACTTTCCTCACCAGCAGTTTGAGATCATTTTGATTAAAAAGTTTCTTTTTCATATAAAAAAGGTTGATTTTCTCTGCCACACGGGGGGAAGTTTCCCTGCTTAACCAGCAGCACTGGCTACTGTACTTTGTATCATGATGACAGGTAGCCTAGGGGCTTCACTTGTCCTCGTTTAGGATCTCCTGATTGGTTCCCATGGGGTTAATCTACAGTGTGCAGCCTGTAAAGATCTCAGAGGATGTTTGGAGGATCTTTGTACACTTCTCAGATGTAACCTACCGTAATCCTGACCTTTACTATGAATAAGATGAGGCTCCTTTATTTTTCTGTTGCCATATTGTCCCTCATGCAGGTAATTATGCAGTTTGAATTTTCTATTGTCAATTTAGGTTTTCAGGTAATTACAGAATTTTGAGTTAGCTTCTTAACAGTTTTTTCTTTTTTTTAAGATACCCCATGTTAAGGCTGCAGGTAGGTCTTCTGTCCTTTTTCCTTTGTCAAGTGGTTAATATTGATATTAATATGGATGTTTATATTTGTTGTTTTTCCCACTTCTTTTTTTCATATAACATATATGGAA